AAACCTTACAAATTTATTAAAAAAAAAAAGCTTTAACTAATGCTATTGATGTATTTTCAACAAGGAAATAAAAACAAAGATTTATAGCTAAAGATGTTTGCACAAATATTCTCTGAGCTAACAAACATAAAACACGAGAAGAGAAAATGTAAAACTTATTGGGCATTGAGAACCACAGGCAGTACAGCAATAATTAACGAGAAATCAAAGCGTAAACTAATTCGACCTTGTTTCAGCAACAACAATTACTACAATGACACGTGACCATGGGAGCAGCGAAATAAAAATAAAAAAAAATATATATATAATACAAGCATGTAAAATGCAACTAAGAATAAATATAGACAAATGTTTATTGTTAGAACGCTGAATGAAAAACTATTTGAACACGAAATGCAAATGTATTAAATAACACAAAAAATATAAAAAAAAGGTACTTAACATGGAACGCTAGAAATGTTTAACGGAATAATTGACAAATTTTTTAATTGCTGCCACAATTGCTGACCTTGACACACTAGAAAAACGGGCACAAAAGGAAGGCAACGCAACGCAATCGCCATAATAATAAAACTAGTCACAACCCCCATCTCTCCCATACTTCCTCTCTTGAAATATAAATTTTTAGAACTGTTGTGTACATAGCTCACATTTTATAGGCAATTTGTTTTTATTATTTTAGTTTGGGATATCAGCAAAAGCACAGAGAAACCCGAGAACGAGAGTGAGTGGGAGAGGAGCGGTCTGAACACGATGGCAGACAGCGTGGCAGGCAAAGAGTCATAAAATAAAAAAAAACAAGAAAGGAAGCTAACTTCGGCACGCCGAAGTTTGTATACCCTTGCAGATTGGTTTCGATGTTTATATTATAGATTTAAATGCTGAAAACACTCACAAAACAGAGTTTCATTACATTTTACTTATACTTATTATGTCTACAGTTACAGTTTTACATTCCCAGTTTTACATTTTCTCTACATCTACCGATCGGTTTATATGGCAGCTATATGATATAGTTGTCCGATTTTTATGAAATTTATTCAATAATTCTAGAATAATAAAAAAAGCTTATATCTCAGAGTAGATAAACATACGTTGAAAAACAACGAAACTATAATTTTTTTTCCTATTCATTTTCCGATCGTTCCTATGGCAGCTATATCATATAGTCGTCCGATTTTCATAAAATTTTAACCAAAATTCTGAAATAATATAAAATGGCCATATCTAAAAAATGGTGCAAAAATGTTGAAAAACAGCAAAGTTATAATTTTTTTCTACAAATATATCGAACATATGTATGGCAGCTATATGATATAGTCGTCCGATCCGGCCCGTTCCGACATATATAGCAGTGAAAGCATATAGAAGACTATATGCAAAGTTTCATTCAGATAGCTTTAAAACTGAGGGACTAGTTTGCGTAGAAACAGACAGACGGACAGACAGACAGACAGACAGACAGACAGACAGACAGACAGACGGACAGACGGACAGACGGACAGACGGACAGACGGACATGGTTAGATCGACTCGGCTGTTGATGCTGATCAAGAATATATATACTTTATAGGGTCGGAAACGTCTCCTTCACTGCGTTGCAAACTTCTGACTGAAATTATAATACCCTGCAAGGGTATAAAAAGGAAAGGCAAAAACAGAAAACAACAAATGCGAATAAAATTGCGAAAAATAATAATAATAAAAGTGGTACGCGTGGGCGTTGCCATCTATTACACCACAAGGAAATCTATATTAAAACTAGCCAAAATAATTTTAAATTAAGATTGTTGAATATATTTTTTTATAATTTAGCCGCTTTGTTTAGAAAGATTTGATTAAAATTTAAAGATATTTCAGATATACGAAGAACTTCAAACTCTTTAGCAAGACTTGTTTTATATTGCCTGCCTATAAAGGTTTATTTGCTTAAAAGATAATTATTTACACCCCTTTTTTTCTTGTTGTGTATTTGTTTGCTAGAGAACGAGAGGGTGGTGTGTGCGCGCCTTTTAAGTTGATTAAAAGCGCGTTCTGCCGATGGCAATGTGTACCCCCAATCCGTCCCCTTTTTCATTCCTCTGTGAGCCTCATAATTGTGTCAGCTTTTCTCAGAATATGTTTGTGTATACTAGATCAGCGAAATGTGTGTCACGTCTCCACGGGCATGCAAACAAAATATAACAAACATATATGATATAAATAGCGCAGCCGTGTCTAATTAGCTTTGAAATGCTTTTGCCACAAAGTTGATAAACAACAAATATTATAAATAAGGGAAATATTTACATTAATTAAGAGAAGACTTTTAAGGGGGAAAGTTTAAATATTATTATTGTAAAAAAAACACCAGCTTCGAGCATAAATCCCACAGTAATGGATTTCAGCTTAAATTGAATTTGTTAATTAATTTAGAGGGAATTCATTCATTGCTCTCAATAAACCCAACTTAATAATTCGAATTTCTGAGTAATAAATAGGAGTATCCCAAGTTTTTAATTCCAAAGAACTCTAGTTTATTCTATATGTGTATCACCAGCCTTTCGCAAATACTGCGTATGCGTAATTTGTAGCTACTTCACCCAGAGTACTTACCAAACAAAGGGCTTTTCCCCAGAACCCTTTCCAAAAAGTCTGATGTTTTCAATGGCTCTTTGGTTGGAAATAAGCAGAGGCACGCACACATGCCTCCTCGACTGCGGCTAGACAGCAGCCAAAAGGGCCATAAGGATGATATAGAAATATAGGATGGGATCCTTTGCCGACAACTGTCTGGGCTGCCGTAATGGAAATGACTTTGACTTTTTGATATTCGGTTGTGAGCCGCAATTTACGGTTATGGCCACCGACCAAAACATTCGGTTTTTTTTTTTTTGTTGTTTTGGTCTGCTTTATTGTTCAGTTGGCAGACTATAAGTTCAATGCCTGATAAATGGTCTTGTTTGGTTTTGGCCACACCACAGGTCTAGACATTGGACCCAACGGGGTGGTCTGGCTTTACAAATTAGCCAACAAATTTCAATAAATATATATAACATACATATTTATATTGGGAAAATTCAGAGAATGATGGATTAAAATAATATTATTTATGGTGATTTCGCATGTTTAAAATGCCATTTTTAAACTAAAGAAACCTAAGAAATAATCTCTTTTCGAGTAAAGAATTTTTTTTTTAATATTTAACCTTGGCTACTGATATAATAATTGCTCAAATTGATCACCTTTTCCCATTTCTTAATATTTTCTTTATATTCTCAACACTTTCTCCTATTTCCACATCGACTATTTATCGCTGTTCCAGTCCCAGACATTTTTCTCTGGCTTTTCAATGCCATACGCACATACACTTTCAAGAGCTCTCTTAAATTGCAAATGTCCGGTGGCGCTTAAATGCTGAAAATAAAATTCATTGCCCAGTCGGGTATTGATTAACAATAAATTGTCGATGTGGCGCTGTCGTTCGTTGTCGCCGCTATCGTTGTTGTTATGGTCAATTGTTGTCGTTTTGTCGGCTTGACCGGCGAAATGGGCGACCTGTGGGCGGTGGTTTTCGGTTTTCGGTTTGAGGGAGCAGCGGAGCAGCGAAGCAGACGGATGCTACATGGAGCTTTTGTCTGGCCGTCTGTTTGGGGGCTGTCATGGTGCCACATATAGATATAGATACACACACCCACAGGATACAGAGACGCAGAGATACATATTGCGAAACGAGATGCGCACACGTGCATGCATAAACAACAACGATGCGATGCCACATAACGGAACTCGTTCCAATGTATATATACATATATAGTATGTTTGCATCGGCCATATAATGTACTGCAGTTTTGTTTGCCAGTTTCCAGACGGGGTTAGGATATATATATATATATGTATATCTTTCTATATATAAACGTACATCTGGGCATATCGAGTGTGTGTATGTGTACAGGCCAAAAACCCATTCAATTTAATGTGGCGCTTGTCTAGCCAAAAATTTTTAACGCTACACTGGATACCTTCTCGCTATATGGGTTTATTGAAGCTTAAAGCTGCGAGTAAGCCCGCCCTTTCACACGGATTTAGAGAAATAGCTTCAGTTAATAAAATATATAATTCGCTATGCCTTTTCCCTCGGTGAATGGGGATTTTCAATGGCTCCTGGTGTGTAAGCTTTAATTAGAAAATACCCAAATGACGGCCATTTTCAGTTATTCTTTAATTTGAGCCATCAGACCCCGGGGGTTGTTATCGATTTTCCTTGGCTGGCATTTCCACAGCTACTAACACCGGCCACCACCGCCACCCCCCGCAATGAAAGCTGTCGTCAACGCTGTTTATGCTAATGAAGTCACATTGTCGCTGGCTTGCGTCTACGCCCACCAAAAATAGAAGAAAAAATGAATGCCATAACATTAAATACAAAGCGAAAAAAGTTTATTAAAAAAAAAACTGAAACGTGCCAGGCATGATTAATTAGCTTAGTACAAAAATATATAACGAAAGCCACCCTGAACAAAATAAGTAAAATAAATCAAGACGCAGGTAAAGGAGATATGTTGTGTTGCATATTAATGACGGAAAAGGCTTAGTGTGGGAATCAATTTCAGTTATTTTGAGACGGTTTTTTTGAAATTGAAATAATATTATCTAGCATGAGCACAATAGTTTACTTTTTATAAGAGGAAGTAAACCAAATCAGTGAACACACAACCTCACAGACTTAGATTGAAATATTAACCATTATAAAAAAAAAAAACTATATAGAATTCATATAGGCTAATCTATAGATCGTAATCCTTATAAGGCCATATCTTGCTACGCACCAGTGTTAAATACCATTTGATGAATTCAAAATATTTGCATTAAACTACATTTTTCATATTCGTTAATCATAAATTACCTATTTGAACCCCAATCATTATTCTTCCCACAATTATTTTGATTATATCATATTCCGAACCCAGTTTATTTATGTTTTTACCATTTCTCTTTTCTTCTTTTCTCTCTTTTTACAGACTCAAACTATAAAAAACACATTCAAAAACTGTACATAAACAAACTTCAAGTGTTGCAAAACCTTCTTGAAGGGAGCTAACACACAGTACACTTAACAACACTGAATCGAGGCGCGCGTGCAATATGCGTAACGGTATTCGGGAACGCGCGCGTGCCACGGAACGCACTGTATTGAAACGAGACGCGTGGAATCTATAATGCAACAACAAGAACAACCACAAGAAATATACCAGCAGCCAGAAGGAGCAGAAGACGAAAACAGAACAATAGCAAGAAAGAAGAGGAACATTTGGAAAATGTTGTTGTTGCCGTACACTGAAGAAAATGCATCGTTTTCTTAACATCCAGCAAAATATCAAATTACGCAACTATCATCAGTTACTTTTGTATTTTGTCGCTGCTGCTGGAGGACGGGCGGAAGTGAGAGGAAGAGCAAGAGGCAAGGGAACCGGAACCGGAAGAAGAAGCGGTCGCAACGGAAGTAGTAGTAGAAGAAGAGGAAGCAGAACGGCAGCAGCAGCAAAAACAGCAACAGTAACGTTAAAAGCAAACGCAACGTAACGTAACGCAACGCAACGCCAAGCGACGTGAAGAGTAGTTGAAGCATAATACTATTAATATTGTTAGCCCAATACATTAACCCAACGCTGCCACTGTTCCTAAGACATCATCATCCACAATAACAACAAGAAACGGAAGAAGAAGAAACCATTTAAAATAAGCGTAGTCCGTAGCCGTAACCGTAAACCGTAACGTAAACGCAAAAAGAAAAGAAAAACAAACTACAGAAACACAAACCCTATGCCAATTTTGATCATCGAATCGTTTTGCACGTAACATAAACTCACTCCCATAAGCGATCCATCAACGAGAAAACCTAAAGCAACAAAAAGCAAAAGTTGTTTTAGATCCCAAAATCCCAGAAACCAAAAACCGATCTCGCCCCTTGCCACGCACACCAAAAAATACCACACACACACATAAAATAAAAACAACAACAAAATAGAAACACAAAATAAAAGGCTGGCCAAGGAAAGCGGAAAAATATGGCCACACCTCAAGTCAAGGACTTGGTGTTGCGCTCGCCCGCTGGCTCCTCCGATGTCATTTCCTTCGCCTGGCCCCTGCAGATCGGACATGGACAAGATAAACACGATAATGGCATCGACATTATCGATACCATCAAGTTTGTCTGCGATGAACTGCCATCGATGTCATCGGCCTTCGAGGAGACCAATCTCAATCAAATTGACACTGCCTGCTATAAGACTATGACCGGACTGGTCGACCGCTTCAATAAGGCCGTCGACAGTATCGTTGCGTTGGTAAGTACTTTTCTCAAGCACATTTATGGCAAAATCAAATTCGTAGTTAAATCTTGAAGATCTTGAAGTAATACATTCTCTCTTTCCATCATTTTAGGAAAAAGGAACTTCACTGCCCGCCGAGCGCCTGAACAAGTTCGCTCATCCTAGCCTTCTAAGACATATTTTGCAATTAGTTTACAATGCTGCCGTACTCGATCCGGATAAGCTCAACCAGTATGAGCCCTTTTCGCCGGAGGTTTATGGCGAGACGAGCTACGAGCTGGTGCAGCAAATGCTCAAGCACGTCACCGTCGGCAAGGAGGACACGTTCATTGATCTTGGCTCAGGAGTGGGCCAGGTTGTCCTCCAGATGGCCGGATCCTTTCCCCTAAAAACCTGCATTGGCATTGAGAAGGCAGATACGCCGGCGCGTTATGCGGAGCGCATGGATGTGTTCTTTCGCCAGTATATGGGTTGGTTTGGGAAGCGCTATTGCGAATACAAGCTAATCAAGGGCGATTTCCTGGTGGACGAACATCGGGAGAAGATCACCTCCTCGACGCTGGTATTTGTAAATAATTTTGCCTTTGGGCCGACGGTGGATCACCAGTTGAAGGAGAGATTTGCGGATCTGAGAGATGGAGCGAGAGTTGTTTCCTCCAAATCGTTTTGTCCACTAAACTTTCGGATTACAGACAGGTGAGTTTTTGTTTATAATTAAATTTTAAAATTGAAATGTGTTATTTATTGACATTTTTGCTTGCAGAAACCTCAGCGACATCGGCACTATTATGCACGTAAGCGAGATTCCGCCCCTCAAGGGCTCTGTGTCCTGGACCTGCAAGCCCGTTTCGTATTATCTGCATGTGATCGATCGCACTATACTGGAGCGATACTTTCAACGCCTGAAAACGAAAGGCGGTAATGATCACGACAGTGTTGGTAAGTTCATCAGCAGGGCGAATGACGAAGGAAGAAGATGCAGGATGCACCAATTGGAAATGAAATCGAAAAGAACCGAGACCACACACACTTACAGAAAACAGTCACTATCTATCGTCATAGCATAAATCCCTACACTGTCCATCAATCACTGTCAAAATCAAAAATTCGTTTTCATGTCTTATGGTTTTTCTCACTCGAATCAATCATTTCATTATCGCAATCAAAATATCTAATAAGATTATTTGTTGCTCAATATAATCAATATAATGTGACAGTCATACTAAATTTAATTTAATTATTAATAATTAATGAATTAAGCAGGTTACACGGAAGATCTTGCAGTTTTAAAAAAAAATTCTTTTAACGTAGTAGTAATAGTAATATTTTACAAAGGTATTTTTTTTCGAATTTCTTTTTAAATATTTTTTTTATATATTTTTTATAATTAAAAAAAATTTTTTTTTATAAATTTTTTTTTATTTTTATATATTTTTTATAATTAAATTTTTTTTTGTTTTTATTTTTTTTATAATTTTTTTTTTTTTATAATTTTGTTTTTATGTTTATTTTTTTTTTTTAATTTTTTTTTTAATAATTTTTTTTAATAATTTTTTTTTTATAAATTTGTTTTATATATATTTTATTATAATTTTTTTTTATAATCTTTTTTTAATAATTTTTTTTTCTTATAAATTTAACAATCAATGAGGACTCAGGTTTTTATCGATTTTTTTTTTTTTAATATTCTATAACCGAATTTCTCTCTTCTCGCTGCAGGAACTGTGCGCACCACTCGCGATCGTGCCAAGCGTGAGGCAAACGTTGGCCAGCACCACCATCACAATAACAACCATCATAATAACATCAACAATCACGCCAATAACAACCATCAGCGGGAGCGGGAGCAGTCGAACGGATCCATTAACACCGCTGGCCAACAGCAGCAGCAACAGCGCCATCAATCGCAGTCGCCGGCCAATGTCAGCGGCGGTGGGGGACTAACGGTTGCCATTGGGCATCCAGCAGCAGCCTCCAAGACACGCCAGCAACAGCAGCAGCAACAACGCAGCCTCGACATGGAGAGCAGCACTGAGAGCGATGGTGAGGCGACGAATGGCAATGGCGGCAACACCACCACGGCCACCAATACCACATCAGCCTCGAATGGTCCCATGACCAGGAAGGTGTGGTCCGATTGGTGCAGTTCCAAGGGCAAGAGTTCGCAGTCGGATGACGAGGAGAATAACAACTCCAATAGCAATGGAGGCAGTAATGGTGGTGGGACTGCTGGCCCCGGAGCCGGAGGAGCTGTTGGCCGTCAGGCTCGTGCTGCCACCCAAAAGAAGCGCAAAAAGCTCACCAGGAAGGCGGCGATAGCTAGTAAATCGGCAGCAGCTGCTCAAAGGGAAGCAGAGGCAGCGGCTGCGGCGGCGGCGGCCTCGGCAGCGATGGCCAGCAAGGACTCCAGCTCCAAGGAGGATCAGCCAAGGGCCGCCAGTGCGGGACCCGGTCGCAAGGGGCGCTTGAAGAAGGGAGCCCGGGGCAGGAAATCCCTGAAGATTGTTGGTCTCGAGGCGCTGCATACGCAAACGGTCTTGAGTACGTCCCTGGATGCCATGACCAAGAAGCTGCCAGCAGCGCCAGGAACAGTGGATCAACAGCTGACGGCCCTGCTCACCGAGAATATGGCGCACACGGAGCTGGATATACCGACGGCGCCACAGGACACACCATATGCCCTGCAAATCCTGCTGGATGTGTTCCGCTCGCAGTATATGACGATGATTGAGCAGATGAAGTCCAGTGCCTATGTGCCGCAGGTCCAGAAGCAGATTGCCCAGGAGCAGGAGAGGATGGCGCGGCTAAAGAATCGAGCCAATCAGCTGGACAAGCAGATCAAGGTGCTGATCAACGACAGTGTGGCCTTGCTCAAGGTGCGAATGAACGAGCTTGGCATCCATGGGAACTCCTCGAACGATCTCATTGCCCAGGCCAAGGAGATTGTGCACAGGCACAAGGATCTCCAGCACACTGTCAACCGGATGCGGAACGAGGTTACCTTCTACGAGGGCGAGCAGAAGCATCTGCTGAAGAACCAGTTGAAGAATCTACCCGAATACCAGAAACTCTGCGGCGGTGTTAATGGCAAGGTGAAGCTGGAAGTGCCACCGGAACTGTCTGAGACGACGGCCCAGGAGCTGGTGCTCAAGGAAATTGCCAATACGCTTAGCCAGCGAAAGAAGCTCTACGCCCAGGTGTCCACCATTGAGCAGGAGACGACGGCTTTGCAGAAAACGGCCGAGGAGCGGTCCACAGCAGCCACGCTTCTGGCGCAGGGTACCAACATGATGACCGTGCCCACCACAGCAGCCTCCGCCTCGTCTTCGTCGTCCTCCTCCTCGTCAACGTCCTCCTCCACTACCACATCCACCCCACTTTCGAATCCAATAACCGTGCCAACAAATAATAAAATAAATAATGTAAAGAACTCCCGACGCAGTCGCGAGCACCGAGCCCGCTCCCAGGAGTGGCCAGAGGTGCCCGAGGTGGGCAAGATCCAGGAAAGCAATCCCGAGGTGCTTGCCCAGAAGATCGTGGAAACCTGCCGTCAAATCGAGGCGGGCAAGTTCCAGGGAGGAGCAGCTGTGCCCGCTTACCAGGTGAATGGCAAGAATAAGGTAATTCTGGAGGCACAATCACAACCACCGCAGGCGCCGCCAGCTGCTCCAGCAATGAGCATCAAATCTTCACCTGGCCACCACTACAAGGACAGCACACTGATGCCCGCTCCCAAGCAGCAGCAGCAACAGGTGACGACGCCCTCTTCCCTGCTGCCCAAGTGTGAGTTGCCGGGTCTGTCAGCTGGAAGTAGGAAGCAGGAATCACCCAAGGTGGCCAACTTTGAGGATCGGCTGAAGAGTATCATCACCACGGCCTTAAACGAGGATCAGGAGCAGCGCAGCAAGGCGGTAGATCCTATACCATCGCCCTCTCCGCTTCACAGTCCAGCGCCCAAGCGTTCCAAGCAGCAGCAGCCGGGCGGTGGAGCCTTGAATCCCACCCAGTCGCTGCACAACATCATCACGGTGTCGACGCAAGGCCTGATGCATCTGAATGCCAACACAACTATATCCCCGATAACGCCACCTTTGCCGGGTCCGGGAGCTGGAGCCACAGCCTCTACGGCGCCGCCACCGCCAGCGAATCTTCCCTACGGAGCCTACGGTGGGGCAGTGGGCAAGGTTCCGGGATCAAGCAAGTATCAGCAGGCAGCCAAGGAGCCCAAGTATGCGCCACCACCGCCGCCGCCGCCGCCATCATCCCACATGGCAGCCCTGTACTCGGCGGGACAGCAGCAGACGTCGACTCCAGCGGACTTGGCCTACCAGCAGAGGAGACGCAGCTCCGTCAGCGCAAGCAGCTATGAGCACTTTATGGTGCAGCAGCAGCAGCACCAACAGCAGCATGCCCTAATGCTGGCGGCAGCCGCTCATGCTGCACAGCGTCAACAGATGCGCGTCGAGGAACAGCAACAGCAACAGCATCATCATCAACAGCAGCAGCAACAGCATCATCACCATCACCAGCAGCAGCAGCAGCACCTTCAGCAACATCGCCTGCAGCATCAGCACCTTCAACACCACCATCATCACCATCCCAATGAGTTCAAGGCTCCGCCAGCTGATAACCTTCTTCTGCAGCGTTCCAGTAGCCGGGAGCAGTTGATAGTAGAGCCACAGCAACAGCAACAACCACTGGAGCTGTTGCCTCGGGCCAGTTCCGCCAACTCTGACTATGGTGGCTATCGCATCCGTCCGCCCAGCAGGCCCAGCTCCAACTCTTCGCAACCGGATTACACTCAGGTTTCGCCCGCTAAGATGGCCCTGCGCCGGCATTTGTCACAGGAGAAGCTTAGCCAGCATGCAACGCCGCAGGCCACGCCACCACCACCGCCGCCGGGACAGGGAGGTGTCACCACAGCTGGCACCTCGGGAAAAACTATTGGGGATCTGGTTAATGGGGAGATTGAACGCACCCTGGAGATCTCACATCAGAGCATCATCAATGCAGCTGTGAACATGAGCACCGGCGGTGCCCATTTCATGGAGCGAACCACCTTCCTCAACGATAGATCCAACGATCAACGGCTGCTCATCAATCTGAATGCCCAGCGACCGGAGCGTGTTCATGTACGTCCGCTCTCCGACGAGTCCCAGGAGCCGCATCCCACCAGCTATGCCCAGGAGAGGGGAGCAGGTCCTCAGGCGGCGTCTGGAGGAAACAGCAATCTGGCCACTCTGGCCCATGTGGCCTATGTCCAAAAGGCGCAGGCAGGCGGAGGTCGAGCGAACGTGGGTACAGCGCCGCCTCCAGCCAGCAGCCACTCCTCGTCTGCTCGTTCGGGAAGGGACTATCAGCCGGTGGCCCTGCCACGCGCAGAGCTCAAGGGTAGCATCGAGGCCTACTTCCACGAGGAGCAGCAGCAGCAGCAGCAGAAGCAGTCAAAGGGCTCAGGATCAACAGGAGCGGCCGCCTTGCGGGGAACGCGACTCAACGGAGCCAATCCGCCTTTGGAGGGTAACTTGGTGAATTTTCTTTTAAAAATAGGAAACTTAAGTCCCTTTTTAATGCTTGCAGGTCTAGCTGCTTCACTGCAGGATCACGTTCGTGCGCGGAAGTACAAGGAGGAGACCGAGGAGCGTCAACGCCGGGCGGCAGCCGCCGCTTCGTCATCGTCTTCTGCGGGAGTACCGCCCTCTGGCTTGGAAATGGCAGCTCACTATGCCCACCAGGCGCCGCCAGCCCATAGCTACCACCATCATCATCATCACCATGGCGCCAGTCTTAATGGAACACCGCACAAAGTAGAGCGTAAGCCAGGTCTAAATTTACCAAAATGAAATAATTCTAAGCTTTCTCCATCCTTTTTTTCAGTTGGAGTAAAACGAAGCTCGCCGCTGGCACCGCACCAGCAACCGCCGCGTCCCTCAAAGCTGGCACACTATGAGCCACCGCCACCGCAGCACCATCAAGCCCATTTGTATGCCAACGGACAAGTGTTGCCGCCGCCGCCACCAGCTCATGATGCCACCACGCCCTCACCGACGCCCTCTTCATCATCGTCGTCCTGCGGTAGGCGCAGCAATAGCAATAACAATGGCAAGATGCTGGTGGATCCTCCTTTGCTGATGAGCCCCGAGATCAACTCACTGATGGGCGATGAGCGACCACTGCAGCTGTCGCATCACTCACAGCAGCAGCAGCAGCAGCAGATGCTTCATCACCACCAATCGCAGCAGCAGCAGCACCACCAGCAACAGTTGCAGCAGCTCAGGGTGCCACATCTTGGACATGGTCATGGTCATGGTCACAGCACCACCCCCACCTTGGGCGGACAGCGTAGCAATGCCAATGCCGCCGACGATGGTAAGCTATACGTAGACCAAGCTATTTCGGCCTGGCCACCACCCACACATGCATTTGCACTACCAACACCACCACCAGCACATGTAGCCTATCCGCAAGAACAGCATAATCTTTACCAGCACAAATACCCAACTCGACACGCCGCCCAACTGGTGGCGGAAGATTTAACCATAAAGCGAGCCGAAGCGGAATCGGAAGTGGGGGAAGACGAGACAGGCGAGGAGGAGGAGGAGGAGAAGGAGGAGGAGTCTGAATCTGAATCTGAGCGAGAGGGAGAGGAGGAAGCTGTGTCCGAATCCACCTCTAGCTCCAGTTCTAGTTCCAGTGCTACCAATTCCGATTCTGAGGCGGCTTGAATTACTCATACACTCATACACATTTGAAAACACTTTAATTTTTTCTATTTGTAAATACACAACACGCATCTGCAAATCCAAAATTTTGTTAATTTTTACACACACTTTTTGATGAAATCATTGTAATTATTGTTATTTCAATTGTTGCGTGTTGTTCCGTAGCTTTTTGATCTGTACTTGTAGCATCCACTGTATTGTTGTTTCTTCTTATTATTTTGTAGTAGCCTTTAGATATTTATGTTTTATTTGTTTATAATTTGTTATTGCTTTCAATTTATGATTTTATTTATTTTTGCCATTAACATTTTGGGTAATTTGTATTTTTATTTAGAGGGTGGAAAAAAAACAACAAAACTAACGGCGTAACTCAAAGAATTTAACAAGCAAAAAAAAAAATATTCAGAGTGTAAGATTGAAGAACAGTAATCCCCAATGAAATAAATATTTAAATGGGGTTTCTACTAGAGGTTTACGCCGATGGTTAAAGGCATCGGCGGCGGCGTAGAGGTCAAAATGACTCGGCGGCGGCGGCGTAGTAGTCAGAAAGAACCGGCGGCGGCGGCGCGTCAAATAAGGCAAAAAGGCCATTTTAATGAGTTATTTATTTTTTTTTAAGTTTTATAAAGAACAATGACACTGAAGGCCGCGCTGAAGCTGCGCCGATGCCGCACCAGCGGCGCGCCGCGGCGCGCCGTTATTTTCATAATTTGGCGGCGGCGCGTCAAATAAGGCAAAAATCGGCGGCGGCGGCGGCGTGGCGCGGCGGCGTATATGTCTAGTTTCTACACACATATATATTCCATCTGAAAACATTTTTGTAACATAAGAAAAATCAAAGTAAACGACGACCAACAACATCCTGAAAAAAAACTAAAAGTACATAATAGTTCCTTTCTCCTTTCCCCTAAGCGTCATGCCAAATCAGTCGTCTATATCTAAGCATATATAAACTTTTACTCAGAACCACCCCAAAAATCCACCCACAAAAAAACATAATTGTAAAAAACAAACATACATTAAAACCACATACAATACACACATCCCCATAAAAGCAAAACATTTATTTCAAAATTAACAACAACAAAAAAATCAACTTTCTTGGAATGTTATTATAATGCATAATTAATTTTCAATTTTACTAAAAAATTCAAATAAAAAATAAGACTGCAAATGAAAATTGGTAATGCCAAGACCTCAAAATATTTACATAAAAAACAAACAAAAGAAAAAAAAAACCCCCATATCCTTCTTCTTATGACTCCCTTCTATATTATGCTCTCCTCCCATACAGTTAACGATTTGGCAGCGCAACGTACTATAACTAATTACGATCCCAGACGTCGCCTTCGCACGACTCTGTCTGGGGGCCCAACGAAACTATCAGCTGCCCAGCCTAACAGTACTAGTAATCACAGTCTGAATGGATATGTTCTGGCAGATAGTAGTAGTAGTTGCTCCCACACACCACAAGTAACCCCAATAACCAATGATCGATTGCATTGAATTGAAACTGACATTGAATTGAAATTGATATTGAAATTGATTTGAATCGAATTGAAATTGATTGACATTGCATACTTCAAAATTCCTCAAAAACTGAAAAACCAAAACGCGAAAAGCGAAAACCGAAAAAAGAACATGTTTGTTGTTGGGCGATTAAGAGAAAAAATCTTTAAAATAACTAATAAATAATAAGCAAAAGTACAAAAAAAAAACCCGATGATCAAAATAACAGCCGACAAAAAAGACAACTTTTAATTTTTGCGTTTAATAATTTACCTACTAAAAGTACAGAATTTATATGCCAAAAAAATGAAAAAAAAATTATATAAAAAATCCGAAAGAAAAAAATATGAAATTTTAAATCGAGCATGAGGTAAGTTCTGTTGCGCCTAATTGGTTTTCTTTCTTTTAATTATGATTTTTTACTTATGATTTACTTTATTTTTTAGTTTCATTATGTAACAAACTTTTCTTTTTAACATTTACCACATGCATTACACACACATAAAAAAAATAAATAAAAAACACCCACAAAAAGTTGAGGATTACAAGAACATACATGTCCCCTGCACGCAACGCAACTGTACCAAAAAAAAAAAAAAAAAGAAAGAAAGAAGCTTAGGACACGACTTGTTATCGTTATCGTTATCACAAATCATCGACTGACCCCGAAACTCACCATATCTCACCCCAAAATTCCAGCCCATAACGCCAAAAAACTCGCACTACTTTTAGGACAAGCTTAAATGGAAAATAACTAATCATAATTTTTGTATAATCTAACTACAGATGATGTTATAGCCGCCGATGACGAGTCCCACTGGCAGCATCGAGTCAGCTCTGGCTTCGATCGCTTGGTGGCCTTCGCCAGCACTGAACTGGATAAGACGCGGCGCAGCATCGATGGCATCGACACGGTGCCAGCCTCAATCAGTTGCAACACCTCGCCGGACTCGGGCATAACGCACAGCAGCAGCAATTCGGATGCAGTGCGCACATTCCTGTCCACCTCGTCCAGCTCCTCGTCGCAACTGGAGCTGCCCATTGGCAGCGGTGGCAGCAGCAGCAACAACAGTCTGTACAACAGCGGTGGGAATAATGGGGCGGTCAGCCATCAGCAGCAACAGCAGCAGCAGCAACTGCTGCAGGTTCAGCAACAACAGCAACAGCACCAGCACTTGACCACCGATCATCTGAGCGACAGCAGTAGCATCAAGTCATCGGCTTCCTCATCGCTGCACGGAGCTGGCAGCAGCTCTTTGAAGACAGTTTCGCCGGTGGATCCCAGTGCCATTGAATCGCCACCGTTGTCGGACGTTGGTTTGCCCAGAACACCGAGTCCCAGTGCTGCCAGTGTGGCCACGCCTCCACTGGCCAGTGGCCCAGCTCTATCCGGTGGAGATGTGGCTGGAATACCACTGAAGTATCAACGCAAGTCGAAGAGCGGCTCGGAGAAGCACTACAAGAAGAAGTTTTGCGAGCGGAACTGGGAGTACGACTGCGATGAACTGCTGGCCTACTCCAACTCGAGTGCACCGCCAACAGCAGCTGATGCGGCAGGCAATGGGCCACAGAGTCTGGTGGATACGGCCACTAGTGGAGGAATCGTTGCTGCTAGTGCTGCTGCTGCACCACTTCAGCTGGGAAAGTCGGGCAAGTCACCGAAGGAGAAATTATCGCCTCACCATAACAGCGGCTATAATCATCACCACAAATCCTCGAAATTCCGGCCAAAGGGCAAGGACTGGGACTGGTCGATGGACAGTCGCAGCCAGACGGGCGACCACATGCTGCCCCAAAATATAAACAACTCCACGACCACCACAACGAGTAATTAATTTAGTAAACTAATTTAGTTCAATTTTGCTGAAGGATGACGAAGGACGAAACGAGAAGCATGAAGGCGGAAGAGCAAGCAACTCGATTGCCGCTCTTTAGCCAAATGAATTGTACATTTTGGATCTGCGACTGGATATGATCCCTGTGAATTATATATATTGTATTTAAATGAAGATTTTTTGTAATTTTAACTAAATGAATTGTGTACGCATATAGCAAACTAATTTGTATAGCACAGCTCTCCATTATTTGCCTTGTTTTATTTAATTAATCAATTGCTAGCCACCAGCTCTCCTCCTGTGTGTCACACCAGTGTGTGTTTTTTTCTTTATTTCCTTGCGAATTCTATAATTAGGCTAGGTTATAAGTATAAGGTTGAACCCAAACTGCTGATGAACAATGTTACTACTGACTTCTTTATACTTTATTATTATTATTATTATTATTGTATTTAATTTGCATTATTATTGTTTATAAGTTGAAAGTGTTTTGTCCTTAGTCCTTATTATTATTATAATTTTTTAAATAAAATTGTCAACTAATTGAAAAGGTTATGATTTGTTTTTTTATTTTCGTTTAAATAATTGAAATAAAAACCAACGCTGTTACAGTCTCTCTCCTCCATGTTGAATTGGGACCAACCAACCCTCACATTCCGAACCCGTTCCTGTTTTCAGTACTACGAAAATGGCTTAGATGAAAGTTGCTTCCATAAAACGAATATATACGAGAACATTTTAAAGGAAATATTTTAGGAAAAGTACACAACTTTCCATTAAGAGACTTCACATTTGCGAATTAGCTAATATATGGCACAATTTGATCAATTTTTAGAATTTATAGTTTATTTTTTTTATAACTCTTAATTCTTTAATATCTGTACTCGCGCATAGATTTTTAGATATCGCGTGTGTGCGCTCAAATAGGCAGAAAAGATATATATACAATATATACTTTAACAGATTAATCGCAAAACAATAATTCTAAACTGATGTAGAGGAATTAGATAACGTATACAAGCAACATGCAATATGCAACAGCAGCAGCAGCAGCAGCAACAGAAGCAGAACAACAAGTAACCTTATAAATTAATGAATTTTCCACCTCAGCGAAATAAACAACAATTTTATATATATTATATTATATTATATTATATTATAGCAGGCATATACAACATATATACATATAGATACTTATATATATATATATATTATATACGATGCAAGCAGCAGCGGGAGGGTAAGGGAATATCAGGAAACCAATTGAACAGTAAACAAACAAATAAATGATTTACAAGCATTTAAAATAAACAACAAGCATAAGCAAACAAATATTTAGCAAAACATAAAACTTGTATGAGTAACAGTAACTTATAGCGAATAATGGGAATTTCAAATGTGCTATTAGCGTAGTGTAATATATATTATATATAAATAATTAACGAAAGAGTAAACTGAATAAAATTAAACGGTATTAAACGCAAGGAGGGCGAGTGCATAATGGGCGCTAAATGATTTTTATACGTAATATATATATTATGACGAAAGAGTTGTGTAGCAAATGAAAATATAATAATTTTGGCGCCATTAAAACAAATGTCATGTAAAGTGCATATAAAAATAAATAGTTAAATTTACATGTAAAATTCATAAAACAATAAACGAAGAACCTAAAAAAGTCATGGTTATTATGGGAAACCAGATGATAAACATTAAATGAGCACATACGCATATTAACATTAAAGGTATTATTATGTATATTTAACAAATATTTATTGCATATTATTATTTTAAACTTAAACGTTTAATAAAAAATATTAAAATATAATTAACAATAATCTTACAGGGTTTTTGATGGGTATGGCTTGCGGTTAAATAACAAAAGTTATTAAATCCCAATTGCGACTTGGTTTTCTCGCAGTGTAGTCAAGGATCGTGGGAAAGTTCGTCTGACTCTGGGCCATCATTTTGGGAAGGTATGACCAAAAAAACTATTTTGTAATTTAAAGAAAAAATATTGTACAGAACTTTTCAAATGTTAAAAAAAAATCTTAAGAATTTTCAATTCAGCATGCAAATCTATTATCCGAATAAAAACTAAGACATAAAAGCTTTCGAATTCAAATTAATATTTTTTTTACTTAGTTATCAATTTTTAAAACTTTGATCTATTAAAATAATTATCAAACATTTTAAAAGATACATCATTAAACTTTATTAAAAAATAAAAAATTGTTACGAATTTTTAATTTAATATACAGATTTATTAACCGAATTAAAACCAACACAGAAAAGCTTTTTGATTTGAAATTTATGATTTTTTGACTTAGTTATGTTTTTTTAAGACTTCAATTTATCAAAATTTTTCTGTAAAACTATCGATTTAATGATATTTCAGGTCATCATAAGGGCATAAAAGTATATTTATATTCCGATTTAATAATTACTTAACAATAAAATTATTAAGAAACCCTTTTTTTGAACCCCTTTCACCCAAATAAATAAATTTGCTAAACATTCGTTTTTGTTATCTGTATTTGCATGTCATTCAAATATCTTATAAAAAGTACAGTTTTGGTTCGTTTAACTTTAATGCATTGTTTCTGTATAATTGCATGTATCTCATCTAAAGTGTTCCCGGTGATAATATGTTTAATTTATTTACCATACTTAGGGCTATTGCTATTAAATCGTAGGTATATATATTGTGTTTGTTGTTCAAAGCGGACCGCGGGTTAATTCACTGCTTAAAAATAAATACTCGGTTTGAATTCAGGATATCGGTTTAGAATTTATATGACAATGTTTATACGATAGGCTATGGGTGTATTTTTGCTGCGACGACTATTGTATTATTATTTGTTGACTATATATGTGTTTGAATTATAGATTGAATCTGAGGTTCTCTAACAAATTCATTAATTTCCTAGCCTTGCGTATTGTAAATGAGTGTATATTTAATTATACTCGTATAACGTTCTATTAATCTATTTATTTTCGTGTGTATACGTAGCTAACTTCTCTGTTTCCTCTTTTACTTTTGTTTGCTTTTCGTTTATGCGTTTTGTATGTTTGTATGAATATTTCTTCTTCTTCTTGTTGTGGTATATATATTTAATTGTTTTACAATAAGGCCTGAGGCACATTTATGATTTATTTTCTTAACATTTTTTAAAAACGCCTTTTTGCTCACACTGCAGCTGAATTTTGTGTGTGTATTAGAACGGAAAGTGGTTCGGGGCTTGTGTTTTACTTTGTTTTACAAACAAACTAACATTCATTTGCAATGTGAATCGTTTTATATCGAAGTGATTAAAGCTAAGCTCGGTTCAAAGCAATTAAACAGAACTGAAAGAGTCTGCTGAACAACTGGGCACAAGAAACGACATTACAACTAGAATTTCAGGCAACCGATAGACAAATCCATTGACAGCTTAACTAAAGTAATAGCTCGAATTAAACAAAAATAATAAACAGATATAACAATCAAACACTTACAACTAATTAGAAGAATCCAAGCCAATTGATAAGTTGAAAGAGAGTAACAAATAAAAGGTTTAGATGTGGGGGGGTTGTGTTAGTAAAAGCAAAGGAAGTGAACAATTGACGAAGCTCGCTACTACTCAATACCTTTCTTACAACACCATACAAACACACAATTTTCAATTTGACAATTATTGAACAGAGACTGCAACTTGGCTGCAACTCCTTTTGTAAATCCGACGGGGAAAAGCTCCTTAGAAACGGAGGTATACATTATATAGTATATGCATTACAATCGAGGCAGGTCTATAGTACTACATACATTTACAGTTACAATTTTGTAAATTTGTTTTCGTTTTTAAAACCGCTGCACACGTTTCCTTCATTCAGACTTTAAGTTCGTTTCATTTGTAAGGTTGTTCAACTTGTAAAACTATGCAACTACATTCCGATGCCATCATCATCGTCATCGTGTTAATGTTAAATGTATTAGTGATAATAACAATATGCCAAGTGCATATATGTTTATACAACGAGGGCCTGAGGGTAACGATTAGGTTATAAGGGTCGACTTAAGCACAGATATGTAGCTCTAATGCTGTCGCGACACTTGATGAAACCAATTAGAGGCTACGATTAAGCTGGTGATTAGTTAACGTTAGGATTAGACAGAAGGAAGATGGGATTTTGTGGGATTTTATGCTTGCGAGTAACATGAAGAGAAAGCTCATTTGTGGAGGAGGAGGTTGGTTAGGGGTTGATGATCCTGCTATTTTTGTCTGATTTCAGCGAAACAGGATCAACTTTACACTAAAAACTAACTAAACGGGGAGTGAACACAACAACAAATTAATTATATAAAAGCGACAAGAGATGGAGGTGGATCTTAAGGGGGTTGACTCATGTGGCTGCCGTTTTTTAGATGCAAAAAATCCTTTTAAGCACTTATAGTTACAAGTTAAGGAAGCAATTTATTGATTTTTTAAAACATGGAGTCAACTCCCTTAAGAGTTCGGGTGGCTCTACAGCTGATCCACATGCTGCAACAGACAGGCCACCACATTGGCATCCTTCTCGGCAGCCTCCTCTTTCTCCACCTCCTCACTATCCGCCGCATCCACCTCCTGTCGCTGGGGCAATACGATCTCCTGAGCCTTCTCTTCATGCAAATTCTAAAAATCATCGAGTATGTCTTCGACACCAATCATCGCCTCCACCACATCGGCGCTGCTGGGCGCACTATCATCGATTAGGGTATCCGTGCTAAGGGCCAGACCAGGATCTGTGGCCACCATGCCCGCTCCATAGGCCGACGACGAGGGTAAACTGTCAATGGTGTTGCCGTTGATAAGAAAATCGCGGGGCATCTCGGCGGGACTATAACGGAAGCATTGATTAGCAATGGGCGTTGTGGGCATAGACTTGGATATATCCAGCGGATTCCGGGCGCCGTAAGAGTGCGTTGCGTATGACAAATGGTTTCCATTTCCCGACGAGGCTTTGCCCCAGTTAAACGAGGGTGAGATGTTAAAGAAGCCATTCTCTACTCCACAACCTGACCCATTTCCAGTTCCTGCTCCTGCTCCACCTGCACCTGCTCCGTTGGCTGGCGTCCCATTTCCATTCATTGATGTCAGACCGCTTTGCTGTTGGTGGGGTAGCGGGGTGGAGGGCACCGATCGCGAAACTATTCCCGCAGAGCCACCGCTGCTGTAGCCCGATGACGAGCCCGCCGAGGAGCTGCATGTCGTAGCCGTCTGCTGTGCCATGCTGTTGAACTTGTGATTGAAACTGGGCGAGATCAGCGAGCTCACATCCACATCTTCGTAGAGCAAACCTGTATCCTTCAGTGGCGCCGACTGCTGGCTGTTGCTGTTCTCCGAGTAGAAGTTCAGGCTGGGCGACTGCTGGCTGCACCTCCGCTGCAGCTGTGACAGGGGCACCGACTGCGAGCGCTGCATCTCCGATGAATCGAGATCATTGGCGCCAGTCAGGGCCAGACTAGTCTCCAGATCCATTGAGTTCTGGTTAACCAGCGGATCGGCACTCTGACTGCTCTCCGTGAAACTGCAGGTATTGCCGCCGCTACTGAACGACCAACTGGGACCCATCCATTGCTGGAGAAGCGAAGGACTCGGGGGTGCGGAAGCCGATGTGCTTGTGGGATAGCTGTACACATAGCCACGTCCTTTGCGATGGGCTCCAATCATGGGATCTCGATTGTCACAGTCCAGGGATTGTTGCTTGCTAAGCAGACTGGATCGCTGCTTCATCCGGGTCACGCCCGGACTGGCAAAACAGTTCTGGCTGGAATTCGCCAAAGTCGGTGCCGATGCCGCGGTGGATGCACTTGCTGCAGCTCCGTTGGATCCATTGATATTCGGCGAAATGGGTAGGAAATGGTTCTTGTTGCTACCATTGCTGGACGCATTGCTCAAACTGATCTTTCGCTTGTTGTTGTTGTTGTTGATGATGCTGGTCAGCTGCTTGGGTCGCTGCAGTTGCTGCTGCTGGTGCAGTTGTTGATGCTGCTGCTTCTCCTGCTGCTGTTGTTGATGCTTTTTTGACATTAAGGCCAGAGACGCTGAGGCAGAACCCACTCCCGCCTGACCGGGCAGCATCGAAGGCGCCGGGACCGGCGCCAACATCGCTGCGACGGCTGCAGCTCCGCGGCCGGGAGCGGGCATCGCCTCCGGTGCAGAGCCCATCGACGTTGGCTCTTGTGGATTCCTGTTTGGTTCTACAGCATCCAAGGAATTTAGTTGTTTTTCCTCAGCGTCTCCCATCTGAAAATATTGGAGTAGCTCGTTGTCGGGCTCCTCGGAGTTCTCCTCATCCTCGCCGGGCAAGAAATAGTCATCCAGCTCATGCTTGTCCATGTTACAGATGCTGATCACTCGCTCTCTGGGCAAACCCAAGTTCTCGGGCAATCCAGAGTCTTCGGCGGCCGCTGCCAGTGCGGCATTTTCCGCTGCCATCAAGCGTTTGGCTCTTAGGATCATCATCTGATTGCGGGAGGCCACTTTTGGGGTGGCGTCCATGCTGCTCGATGGACTCACCGAATTGACAATCATCATCTGCGAGGGCGGACCCATTGAGAGTCCGGGGCCAGGGCCGGGAACAGGAGAATTACCCGAGTTTGGCGGCGGAGGCGTGGCCGAGGTAGTGGTGATCGTTGGCGGCACCAGCAGACCACCACCGCCTCCCGTTGTCCCGCTGCTTGGTGAATTGGCCCAGAAGCCTTTCGTCTGCTGCGCCTTTAAAACTTTCTTACAGAAAATGTTTGTAGTGTAGTCCTCCACCTCGTCCTTGATCACTAACCCCGTGGGCGAGGGTTCTTCTTGCTGTGTAAGCACGACGGACGGCGTGCCCATTTCCAAGATCTTGGGCGTTAGGTTGCGCACAGCGCTGCTGCTTCGCTGGTCTGTAGCCAGATTCATGGGCGTTACCTGCTGCAGGTAAGCCAGGGGTGCTTGCTGCTGATGGTTATGAATGGGTGAGTCTATGATCTCCTGCTTGATCTTGAGTAACTGTTCGTCGCTGGCTTCCTGGCTGCTGCCCGCATCCTGACCAGTGGCCAATTGATTGCAACTGGATTCCGAGGATGTTGAGCCCTTGCGTTTCTTTTTGCGTCTTTTCTTCAGCGGTCCAATGTCCTGCAGAGGGAATTTCGTTTCGATTAATTTACTGTTTACTAACTGAACCTCTAAACTCTCCAACTTACGGCTAGAACTCTCTTATCCTTGGGCTCTCGCGGTGCATATTTCTTGGCCGAAACTGTGGCATTGTTGCTCCTAATGCGGTTACTTAAATCAGCCACACTCTCCAGCTTGGTGTTTAGCAATTTCTCAGCCCATCCTCGCACCACATCCCAACATTCGGAGTCCCCTGCTCCTGCAGTAGTCAGTAGTCCCACCATATTGGGGCCAGCCGCCAATTGCTTGGAATCAGTCAAGGGATCATCGTTCAGACCTTTTTCGATCTTATTCAATTGCGGCAGCTGAGGCGGAGTCAGCTTGGTGGTCTTTCGCATTGCCGCATAGCAGTAGCGGGAGTTACCTCGCGTTCCTAATCTCCTAGGGCGCACGCCAGGAAAGACTTGCTTCATTACCTTGCCAAAATCCGCTGTCGACAGGGGCTTGATGCTCAGGCGTTCGCAATAAGCTCTGAAAAAAAATTTGGGGAAAAAATTACCTCTGGGAAATCCGAAAGTGGACGGACACCACTTACATGTAATCGTTGTACACATCCTGCTTGGGTATAGACACCTGTGCATCGTGCTCCAGATGGGAACGCACCCAATTGATGGTGTGATTAATCTCAGAGCGCGTTCCCAACGGATTCTGAGGCTGCCTTAGCGGATCCGTGTCGGCACATTCGCCGGGCAGGCGAAGGTATAGGAATAGCTTCTCGATGGGCTTCAATACGGAGACACGCTCCAGAATCTGCGAGATCTGCAGCTTGGCAGTGTCACTGTAAAAGGAATACCGAACAATATGAGCTGTAGAAAGTCAGGTAACAACCAAGTGTTAATACTCACTCCAAACTGGACTCAATGACTTGCTGCACCCGTCGCATTTTCTCCTCACTGGGCACCGGAGCTCCTCCTGCAGCCGCCGACGACTGCGAGTTGGTCAAGGCATTCATCACGTTCTCGGCAATGGTAGAATTAATTACACCACTGGCCGCTGGTCCAGCCTCGTTGGGATGCCTTTGACCCGGTATTGCTGGAACTGCGGTCGGTGCTGCAGCGACTGCCGGCGCTGTTGTAGCTGGTGCTGATGCAGCTGGCGGCGTTCCTCCCATGACGTGCATAATCTTTCCCAGACCCAGTTGCTGGGCTGTGTTAAAGGAGAAGGCATTGGCGAAGGCCAGTCCGGCAGCAGCGTTTCCGGCAGCCGCGACAAAGGGATTCGGCGTGAGCACGGAGGTGGCTCCAGTGACGGCATTGGGAAACGGAGGCGGCACAAAGCCGCTGGGCGTGGCTACAGGTACAGGTACATGGGTGTGGCTCGTGGGTGAGATCTGGGAGCCAGCAGGCACTGCTCCCACACTGCCCACGGCCGTAATCGTCAGAGGGGATGCCTTGGCATGGATGACGGGCGCCTGGAAACGGGCGGCGGTGTAGGTGATATCCGTTGGCTGTAGATTGCAGTTGCCGTAGGGATTTGGGTTGGCCTTTTGGAGGGGAACTGCTACTGGGATCGGAAGAGGAACAGGGACTTGAACGGGGATGGTGGTGGAGGATGGTGCTGCTGGCGCCGCTGATTTCGTCCACTGCGCACCCAGCTGGCCGTGCTTCTCGGACATGTTAGGTGCTAGTGCTAGCGGCGCCTCCGTTTCCCTCCTGCTTCGATGCAGCTCCTCCCCTGTTGCTTGCGCTTTTGTTGTGGTTCCTGCCCGAGATTACAGCCACTTCCCGCTGGAAGGTTACGCAGCTGGCGCGTGTGGTACGTTTGTGTGCGTGCGAGCTTTAGGAGACGGAGATTGCGGAGTCGATAACTAACATTTTGACGAAGATACGGATGCCAGATAATGTTGCTTTCCCATTTTCCCCTCGGGCGGGAGGCGGTGGTCTGGCCTGGGGCGTGGAAAGTGCGTGGCGTGCTCTACTGCCAACTAGTGTGCGATTTTCCAATTAGACAGGCACCGATCGGAATGGAATAATCCATTTTTTTTAACAGAGATAAGAAATATCTTGCGTTCTGCGTCTCGAAAATATGCAGAGTTGCCAGACTGGCGCGGGGCAGGAAAGTACTATTTTTGCCACGGTCCACGGATGTAAACACGGTTTTGTATTCGGTTATTGATCTTATTAAATAAAACTGTAGGTACTTATATCAATGTAAATAGCTAATTAGATGTAATATACGCCTGGTCAATGCAGCAGACCTCGGAAATGCAGAAATCTGTTCTGATTATATTATGTTATCGTTATCGCCACTGACCAGGGCTGCATATAAATGAACCTGTGAAATCACTGCATTGTAATGTGATTTTTGAGCTGTATTATTTTCATTCTAAATTTGGATACTACTGTGTAATTTCTTTAAAAATAATTGAAAGAAACACAGATCAGTACTAAATTCAGGAATATTTTCATTTTACTGATGATATTTTGTAATAATTATATTTTCAATATGCGCAAAAGTATATCTACAAAAAAAAAAGGTTTTCAAATTTTACACACATTTAAGTTGAGATTAGAAAATAAAATATTAACATTACATCAATAAATAACTAATTTTAGCTATACCCATATTTTCTTTAACTAGTTACTTAAATATATTTTCTTTGTTATTAAAACATCGATGTTTATTGAATTTTGCTTCTTAACATTATAAAAATCGTTATCTGCCAACATCAATGTTTCTTCATTACTTCAAAATCAACGCGATTATTTCAAATAAGATATATTATATTTTCCAAGAACCGACTCATTTTCACAGCTGCGTGGAACCAGTGAAATGAACCACACTTGTGTGTTTTGCAGCCCTGGAAGTGAAGTCGCCATTTTCAGACAGAGTTTTTTTTCGGTCGCTTTACACAACACTTTTGAGCAATACAAATTTTAACACTAAAATACTGCGTCGAGCGGTTCTTTTAATTAAATCGAAGACCAGGAAACAAGATGCACGGTGAACTAACACCGCAGACGTGCCGGGTTTGCCTGGAGCCGAGTACACGTCTGCAGAGACTGGAGGAGTGCCGCGAGGAGGGCGAGGAGACGCCAAACGAGATGCTTACCCAACTTCTGGGAGTTTCCTATAGCAAGGTACAAATAACAACCTGATAATACCGATAAGGTATTAATTATATCCTTGTCCTCCCACTAGTTAAATGAAAGCGAACACATCCCCGATGGCATCTGCCGGTCATGCAAGGTGGAGCTCAACATGGCCTTTCAGTTCCGCGAGAAGGCCCTCCGCAAACAGGCGGAGATCGAGGCCTATCTCCGCGAAATGGGGCTGATTGAAGAAGAGTCCGAGGAGGTATTGATCAAGGAAGAGGAGGGCTCGCAAACGCAGTGCGACGATGAGTATGTCATTGAGGAGAGCACTGTTGAAAAAGAGCATGAGGAGTACCTGGATGTGGACGCCACAGATCAGCAGGAGTGCATGGGTGATACCATCGAGTACCTAGATGATAACTATACGATTGACATGAATCAAGAACAAAGCGAGATAGTGGTGGAGGAGGCCAGGGAGGAGTACGAGGAGACACCCGCTCAGCAGCTGGTGCTGCAGGAGGCGGCCAAGACCAGTATGAAGGCCCGGCGTGGACGCGTTCGTCGCGGTCTCAACTCGCTGACCACATCCGACGGCACCGAGAAGGGCGGCTACATCTGCGACGTCTGCGGAAACTTCTACGAGAAGCGAGGAAGGATGATGGAGCATCGGCGAAGGCACGATGCCGTTTGCCAGTATGCATGCGAGTAAGTGTGACTGATTATCCTCCTGTGCATGTATGTAACTAGGTCTTACTTCTATGACTACAGATTGTGCGATGCCAAGTTCCAGGTGCGAGAGCAGCTGCGCAAGCACATGTTCTCCCACACCGGCAGCAAGCCCTACAAGTGCAGCTTCTGCAGCCGACAATTCTTTTACGAGAGCGTGCTCAAGTCCCATGAAAAGTAAGTGAAATAATATACTTAATAGTAGATCAAATATATAATGATGTTAAATTTCTTTTCTTCAAGTGTTCACCGTGGCATCAAGCCGTACGTGTGCAAGGTGTGCGACAAGCCATTCGCCTACGCCCATTCGCTGACCAAGCACGAGCTCATTCACACGGACATCAAGCAATACCGCTGCGACTATTGCCACAAGGACTTCCGTCTCTTGCATCATATGCGGCAGCACGAGGAGACCAAGCTGCATCAAAATGCCGTGTTGCTGGCCGAGAGTATGAAGGAAGAGATGGTGGGCGAAGTCGACGGGGCGATGAGCTAAGAAGCCAAACTCATGAAGGACGCAGAATAGATGAAATTATTTTAGGTAATCTTAAGTGCTATCCCACAAAATCCTTAAGGACCATTTCAATACTAGTTCTAAGGCATACATTTAAGGGATCTCTGCTAACTCAATGTACGAATTCGAGAAAAAAAAACAATAAGAAATATATATTTTATGTTTGAATAATAGTAATTTATTGATTTTAGAACTTTTTAAAGTTATTTATTAAATAACATTGAAGAACAATCCTAGATCGGTAGCCTTGAGCCTTGTCCTATTCTTGCACCACTTTTGTGTTTCCCTTTATAGATAACATTTTATAGCAGCTTTTATAAAGTTTCTATAAAAAGGATACAAAAAACTTTTTGAGCTTTAAGCATTCCTTAAATCCTTTAATGTATTTGAATTCTGATACGTACTAACTATCTTTTCCCAACATTTTAAAATGTTAATTAAGTTAATTTTCCAAACTTCCATTATAAACATCAATTTCAAGTCCCTTTTTCATTGACCAACGAATGCATTTGATAAAGGACTGAACAAGTGATGAAAAAAACAAACAAAAAATCAGAGCTGTCAACCCAATTATCCTGGGAGCAAAAATCACAACGTTATTGAAGTGCCGTGTAATATTTGAGTTCCTTTATTTGCACAATCAATGTTCGTGCGTGTGTGGGAGGGAGCAATGCTGAAAATTATGCAATAAATGTGGGTGGCTTCATGTTGCCGCGAGTAAATAAAATGAAATGAAAACAAACGAAACAAAACCAATTTGAACCGAATGCATACGAAACATAACCGAATGTACCATATCAAAGAAAAAAGACCAAATTACCTGACTTGAATAAGTTTTTTTTTCATCGCCTGGCGTTTTTTTTTTCTGGTCCCCCGCGTATTTTTACCACTTTAGTATAAACAACCAAAAAGTTCTTATGGACACGAGAAAACCCGTTGGGACCCCTATGCTTTTTGCGTTTGATTGCAGGGGTTGAAAAGGGGGAGGTTCACTTAAAGAAACTGTTTAAACTTGGCTCAATTTTCGGATAGGTTGCTTTATGATCAGTTGCAGAATTTCGATTTTTTTAACGTTTCCGTCGAAAATATATATTAAAAAAAAAGAAAAAAAAAAAAAGAATTTCGATTTACTTTGATTTGAAATTGTTTATGAAAATGTTAAATAATGCGGATATTAAAATTATTTTTAAGCCAACAGATAAAAATTTATAAATAATTTTTTTTTTTAATAATTAAAATATATTAAATATATATTTAAATTAAAATTTTATAGTTTGAAAAATCAGTGGCATGTAAATTTAAATAAATAAATGCAGCATTAAAAAATTTATGGGCATAAAAAGCATCATCATCAACTTTAGCTCTTTTAAATTGTATTTTTAATTATATTAAATTGAACAATATGAGCTTGAACACTTTTTTTTATTAGCTTATTTCCTGTAAAAACAACTACAGTCCCACAAATATATTTTCTTTATAAATATACAACGAATCAAATACCCTGTTATTATACATCCAGAAAGAATAAAAATAGAATCTTCAATTGTTAAACATAGTTTATTTAATAAAGTTAAACAAATTGCGAGTATTTCTAAAACACAAAAACAATCACAACGACAGGTCAGTATATATAGTACCATTAACTGGGTCGCATTAGGGGGTAGTGGTCGCTTGATTGAATTACTGGAGCTTTTGGAGATCCAACCATATGCCGCCGCGTATGCCTGTGATTATTCCGGTGGGCTCAAATTCGTTGTCTTTGCGGGTCTTGGGATTAACCTTGATGTTGAACTTTGTGATGAGTTCCACAGCCGCTGCCTTAATCTGTGTTGTGGCAAACCGCATTCCTGTTTAAAAATAAATCGATAAGGTATAAAGTTTATCATGAGTTTAGTGGCTATTAAAGCTATCAAGGTTTATCAAAGTAATGTTATCAGTTAATTAGATATATGAAAATGTTATCAGTTAATTGCACTTTAGATAATATAATAATGTATATGGAAAAGTCAAGCCTTACCAATGCAAACCCGGGGACCATCTCCGAATCCCATGAAGACACCACGCTCGCGGAACTTCTTGGCCGCATCTGGCTCAATGAAGCGGTCCGGCTGGAAGGCCTGGGGATCGGGGAAGAAGTCGGAATCCGTCATGTATGAATAGTGGGGCACAACCACCACGGTGCCCTTCTCCACCAAGAAGTTGGGTCCATCCTTATTGGGCAACTCGATGTCCTCAGTGCAGAGCTTGTTCGACATGAAGGCGGGCGGGAAGAGGCGGATTGTTTCTGCAGATAAGCACATAGATTTAATTAGGAGTTTTTAGTTTGATGTTAGCATCAGCTCACCCTGTATGCAGGCATCCAAGTAGGGCAAATCATTGAGCTTGTCGAATTCGATAATGCCATTCTTCAGGTGATCCTGGATCTCCTCGCGCAGACGCTGCTGCACCTCCTGGTCGCGTCCCAGCAGCATCAACATGTGAGCGAGAACCGTGGCCGTCGTCTCAAATCCGTCAAGCAGGAAGGTCATGGTGTGGGCCAACAGATTGCGCGTGTCCAACGAACGTTTCTCCGCCAACTGCAGAATGTAGTCCAGGAAGTCCGTCCGTTCAAACTGCTTTCCATTCGCCAGTTGAGCACGGCGTGCCTCTATTGCAGTGCCCATGACACCAACGAAGAATTTCTCCACGTGCGCCGGTACAAAGCGTAGCTTGATCACCTTACTTAGAATCGGAAAGGTGCTGGTCAGTATAAAGAAGAGCATGAAGGTCCAGGGCTGGTTGAAGAGGTCGTTGATGTATTTCATAATAGGCGAGGGCTTCTCCGAGAAGCTCTCGGCGCTTAGACCCAAAACGCAGTCGGTGACTGTTTCTGAGGTGAAGCAGAGACTCATCTGGGGGAATAAGGTTATTTATCTCAGTATAAAATTCGACATATTATAAGTATTAGTTAATGTGAAGGGTTACCTTTTTTAATTAATATTATATAGTTCTAAAATAATCACTTACGTGCTTGGCATTGATACCTTCCGGAGCACCCAGTCGTATTTGTTTTTCCACCCACTCGCTCAGCTTCTGGCACACCTTGTTCGTCACCGGATAGACGGTTTTGATCTGTGGGGGCATTGGATACATTGAGACATTATTGATGTTTAATTGTCCCTCCATTAGCTGCAGTATCTCACCCGTCCCGCGGTTAGGCCGGGGGTGACATCAGCCCTCCGATTTTTCCACTTCTCGCCAGTCAAGGAGAATGGGTTGTTGGCGAAAATGAAGTCGGTTTTCTCATCAATGCTCTTCGATATCTCGTTGTCGTGGAAGCTCTTGAAGTCGGACACAAAGACGCGACGCGCCAAGTCCGGACTGATCACCAGCAGCTGGGGAGAACGCCCACCAAAAATGCCAACTGCGTCGTATTTGTTTTTATATTTTCTAAAAGAAATTAAGTTAAAGCTCGTGAATTTCACAATATTTTAAATTAAAAAAAAAGTGGCTATTTCAACCTATAAATCGATTTTTATATTCTTATTTTGGTTCCTAAAAACTCACCCATATATTTCGTTTAAATCGTAGATCAAATGACGCTTCATGGTGTACATATTGGGGTAGTTGCCAGTGAATATTTTGGGCTTGGGTCCCGGCACCCGCCGCTTTCGCCAGTGGTTAAAGTTCCATGTCATGAGTACATACACCAGACCAGCTGCCAACAGGCCGAGGGTCAAAGTAATCAAAATCATTCTCGCAGCTCTGAAATTCGCCTCCGCTCGCTATGAGTTCCGTAAAGCTTCTGAGGCGGCACCATTAATTGTGTTCCATTTGTAGCCACCGACTGGAACGAATTCTCAGGGATCGGGGCTGGATTGCTCCCATAGATAATTACCGGGAGAGCGTGGCGCTCGCCAACGAGCTCGGTCTCCCAGCAGACTTCCATTCGAAGGTGTACAGATAAGAGGTAATCGCGATTGCAGGCGGCGATCTCCATCGCATACAATTATTATTTTTTTACAATCTCGTTCATAAATAAACTGTTGTTATGTGTTGCAATCCTTCCGAACTTATACGAAATTCAGAAAATAACTAATTTAATACCAAAAAGTAACATTTAATATAGAAAAATATATATTTTTTCTTCTTGTCTTTTTAATATAGGAGATATTGTAATATAATATATATAATATAATAAAAAATTGTGGTAAATAATACCTATTTAATGTTGCAATATGGTCAATCAATGAGAAATTCTAAAAATAATAAGTTTAATCTTTATAAGTACCATTCGTTTTTTTTTAAGGGTATTTGTAAAGATTAAACTTAAGATTGTATTTATTGTACTTCTCAGAAAGAATGCTATATTTATGCGAGCTTTAATAATAATATTTGGTATAGGAAACCATAAAAATTAAGATATTAATTTTTATTAAATTTTTTAATAAAATAATTTGCATTAATTTAAAAAGCTTAAGCTACGAAAATATTCTAAGATTCAAATTAACATCACATCATACATCACAAATTATAAACAAATCTTTTACGTTTTTGATTTTGTCTAGAGAGCCAGTTATATCGTGATAAAAATAATAATTTTTTGAGAACAGAACAAACGCTGAGTTGAGAGAGATTTGTTTACGCCCGCATCATAAAAACTAGTTTCGGGAAAAACGTGTTTCAATTTACTGCGATTCAAAACAAACATCAATCAGTGCACAGTGGTTGAGCGTCCATGAGATGGGGTTAATTTTATTTATAAGTTCAAGTCTATCAAAATGGGGCTTTTTTTATTAAATTATACTCTTTATTTTCCGAGTGTAGCAGATGAAGCACGTAAAAAGTATGGTGGGGCGAAAACAAATTCAGACAAATTTGCACGCGATTTGACAACTGGAATCCATAAAAGCGCTTCAAACGATTGGATTATGGGTGTGAACGCGAAGCCACCAGTCAGCCAGCCGCTGAACTCAATTGCCAAATTGAGATTCGGCCCTTTTAAACTGATTACGAGCCAGTCCGGGCTATCAATTGCGAATTTATTTCCACATACCCCCTGTAGAACGCAGCGATGGAAACCCTTTTTTTTTTTTTTTTTTGGGGGAGCTCACCTCTGGCCTTGACCTGGCCCTGACTTTGCATTTGTGGAAATCGACTGAGAATGTTTGGGATTTGACTCATCACGAAAGTCCCGCCACCTTTTTTGTGGCAAACAAATCAGTAAATTTACGAGCTGAATTGCAAATTCTTTGCTGGCATTTGGAAATCTTTGAGTCTTTGCATACGAAACAGGTGGAAAAAGGCGAGGAACTTTTGGTTGCCTTCCCAACTTTCCCAATGGCAAGAGCTCGAAACAAGCACAGTAAATATTCGTTAATAAATATACAATATTATAAGGTACTTCAAAAAATCAATTTATTTACATACTATCATTTTTCTCTGTTTTATTTTTAGTTATTTAGTTATTTATTGCATACTTTTAGACACGTTAAAAGGAGATTTAAATACCTCAAGAACATACGCTACTCAAAGCATATTCAAACATTATTATTTTGATTATTTTTATTACTTTTGTAATAGCTAAAATTATTCTTTAAAGAATATTTACTGTACTTTCGTTTCCACTGTATCGCGGTGATAGTGTATATGCATTTGCGTGTCAATGTCAAGTGGTTTTCGGGAAAAGTTGAGAAAGCATCTCAGAAGTGTCGCCATCTTCGTCTTCATCTGCGGCTGTCGCTCGCCCTCCGTCAACTATTCTGCATAATTCATGTATTTTATTAAAAGAAAATGCAAAACCAACAACGAATCCTGTCCCCGCCTCCGCAATGCTCCCGCAATCCCCTCGCTGAACAACTGGGGCGAGTGCTTGTCAAATGGCAGCTGTAAACTAAATGCTTTATATTCATTTATTCCGGAGCATAAACAATGTGAGCATCCACGACAAACCGGAAGACTTGATGAGCTCCTTGTGCCGCCGGGATATGCGATAGTGTAGTATAGGTATAGGGTATAGCTATACCATGATGTGTGGTTCAGCAAACGTGGGATGTGTGTGTAAGTTTGCATAATATGTTGTGAATGCCATGGTTAATGCATGTGCAACAGGATGCTATTCCATTTGCGGCTGCCTCATCCGAGGAAATTAGTTGCTCATAGTCGAGGTATCCGCCAGAGAAAGTGGAATAGTTGGAGGAGAAGGAGCCAGAGGTGTGTGTACGGAACAAGAGTGTTAATCTCATTTACTAAATATATATTTCTTGTATTAGCAATAATAATTAGCAATATATAAGTTAATCAAGTTAAAATATAATATATCTCAATAATTAAATGACCTCTAAAATATCTCTCTTAAAATCTATAAAATTGTTATTACATTAAATGGTAACTGATCGGCAATTACCCAGCTTTATCTAAGCATAATTAATACATTTTCGTAAAGATCCCCAAACCAAACCCTTAAAAGTTCCCTTCCATTGGAAAGGGAAACCCATTTAAATGCCGAAAAATCCCCTTCAATGTAGCGCAACATTCACGCTTGACAGCCAGGCAAAAACAAGAGCAGCAATCAGCGGGTAGGTGGGGGGCAGTCGGAAAAGGAGCCAAAACGGGGCGTGGGAAAAGGGGGTTGCCCCATAAACCAGGCACGCCACCGCCAATCAATAAAACCCCGAAACAACTGGCGCTCTGGAGCATCAAATATTTGTAGGTCTCGGCCAAAGTTAAGATGTGGAAAATCCCCCCGAAAAAACAGTCGAAGCATTAAAAGTAAACGCTGTGGAAAATGAACGATGTTTTCTTCAAACGTGGCCCCGGCATCGGACGAGATTTGGCCGTAATAAACACAAACAAATGAAATAATTTCGACTGCAAACAAAAGGGCATAAATTTATATGTACGTTTATGGGGGTATATATAATATACATATAATTCTAGCCCCAGTCCGGTCCAAGTATGCTTGAATCCGAACATCTATATGTATGCCTATCTATGTATAATGTATAATCCAAGCGGAGGGGGAAAGCGCCACATAGACAGTGGGGGGGCACTGGGTTGGGCCGACGGCCTTGTCCAGTCCGCTTTGCTAAATTACGCATACGCACAGTTGTGCCGCTTGCGGGAGGCGCCATAATTCATGACACACGGCACTCGGCGCACGACTCACGGATACGGATACGGACAGGGGGCAGGGGACCAGAAACGGGGGGAAGACGGACACAGCCCACGGATATGGCCTGTGATGAAGACATCGTCTACGTAAATTGGTTTAAGCTGACGGCAACGGACAGCCCACCCACCCAATCTCCCAAGCTCAGCACTCAGCTTCCTAGGATCCTCCCAGGGCATCCAGTGGCACACCGACTTTGACCTATTGCCCCACCACGCAAAACTTGCACATAAAGTGGGGGTCTACGGATAGTGGGGGCTTCAAGGGGATGAGGTAGGTTGCACTGAACAAAGTATATGATATTGTTTTGATGTCTTACTGATTCTTCTTTTAATGTACAAGACCAATAATTAAACTTTTTTCTTACATTTTATATTATATTTTTACATAAATTTATATAAATATATTGTTCTTATTAAGAGCTCAATGTTTTCCTATTCCTAAATGTAATTATTTCGTAATGTTTTAAAGGATTTCTGGATCTTCAGGCATTGTCTTTAGCTTGAAAATTGTAAAATAAAACTAAAAATTGTCTCCATAAAGTTTTTAAAATGAAATATAAATATTTTTCTTCACTGTATTGGGTCTAAGCAAACAAATGAAAGGCAAATACGGCTCTCTCTGGCCCTGTGGTCCTGCCCAAAAGGTTATGCCATATTACGAGAATTTTTGAGGCTCAGCAATAACAAGCGCATTGGCCTGGCTACCGGCAGGAATTCCGACCCGCCCACTCCACAGTACCTTTCCTGCTGTGCCAACACCACTTCCGTTGCTCGTTTCTCGCTCCCACGTTCTCCTCTTCAGATATAAATCATTTAAATTAACAACTTTTGGTTTATTAACAGAATTTATTGGCAGCAGTTTCTGCAGTCTCAGCTTGCCGCCGCCCGTTATTGTTGTTGCCGCTGAGGTGAACACGTTTTGGGGTTACCCCGACCCCCAAAATCCAGTGATCCCATCCCGGTCAGCCACCCACCCACCAATAATGCCACCACCTTGCTCCCAAGGATAAACGGACGGTTTTGCCCGATGATTTGTTATTTGTTAGTGAAATGATAATAGCAACAAATGAGCTTTTATTGTTCCAATGACCGAGGAGGCCTTAAAGCCGCGTCGTCATTGGCTTTCCGTTTCGATATAAATTCATGAAGGATAAGCCATTCAAAAGGGGATTTGCATAATTTGTTGCCGACTCCTGGACCCCCGATTTCCCATTTGGCCCAACTTCCTCTGTTGCCACTTCTCTTGTTGCTCTCGCACAATACAACTCAAGTGAACAATGGGGCCACAATTACAAAAGTTCTACCCAGTGACGACGACCCACCAGGCCGTACACTCAACAGCATAATGAAAATGTATTCATAAATTGTTAAAAACGGTTAAATATTAAAGTGGATAAAGAATGCATACACACAAAAAATTTGTATATTTCACCCCTAAGGATTGCTAAAAGGAGTTGGGAATTGTAAGCACATATTTGGCTGAGGGCTGACTGATCTGAAAGAAATAGTTAAACTAAAATGTATTCATACATTTTTCAATATAAATATACAAATTATCAAATTTAATTTAATAAATAGTATAAAATACCTTTAGCAGAAATAGTTGGAAATTTTAAGCATTAAATTAATATCAGATTC